ATGCATGAAATGTCTTCGCCCGCTCGAACACTAGGATCGTGGGTTGGAATCACATTCAAGGCATGAATGTTTGCCTGGTTTTATTCTGTGTTCGTATTTAGCGGTCTTTCGATGGGCTCATCACTCGTGCAAGGAGTCTTACCGACTGTAAAAGGTTAAGAAACTGAAGTGAAACGAAGCGTTTGACGAATGCCCTGTGCTCCAAGTGGGAGCCACAATAATAAATGTAAGTAAATAAAACGAATTGAGTAATTCATGAATGTCAGGTGAAAGAATGATTATGTATAATGAAGTGCGAAGGAAATGGAAGGAAGCCATCGTGATGTAGGTCTATTTCAATGAATATCTCATCATTTATCTGGAGGGACTATGCAAACCTGCGAAGATTATAGATCATTGGATGAAAATGGTTACGAATGATGATGTAAATTTGTCTTAAAGTAGATCTTAACTTATTACACACCATTTGCGTTTCATAATCCATTAAGCCACCCTGAAATACTAAGCATCTAATATTTAAAGTTGAAAATGAGCCGTCAAGGAAATTAAGAACAGATCAGTGCATTGCATTCACGAATTGTTCGATGTTTGAAATTGGCTCCTTCAGACCCAGTTGAGAAGAAGCCCGTCCTCCTTTCTACGTGGGGGGCACTCTGATGTGTTCGAAAATTTAGGCAGTAAGGTATGGAGTTATACAAAAATTGACCATGTGAACAATCGAAAATGTATTCAAAGGTTGTTTCAATCGAGATGTTACGTAATGTAATGTTCCAGGATTATTTTTGAGAATTGTGATTATTAAATTTTATTTTAATTTCACGTAATGTAAGGAAAAGTATGGATGATATTTAAACGTGTGTGATAAAGCTTAACGTAAACTTACATTTTGAAGTCTGTTCTAAATTTAACGAAAATTTTTAGAAGATGATTTTTGGGGATACCCACACATAAAAAACTGCCACTGTCAGCTTTTATTAAGCAGTTAAAACAAAGATCAGAAAGCAGGCACTCCTGAAACTGTGAAAGTGGTTTGCTTACACATGTGTTGTTCTGAGGAACATATGAAGTAGGTTGATATGAGCTATGCGCAACCAATGCACGTGACATCCAGCAAAATAGATTCGTACCAAGAATTGCGGTGTACAGTGACCGTCTACACAACAACTTATTAACAACAAAAATAAAACAGATGAACGTGCCAGTATTAATTTATTGTGTTTATATTGTACCGTTACATGTTTCCATCTTGACAAATCATTAACATGTGGCTAAACATAAATAAGTACAGATTCATTGACTTTAATTGTTTCTTGTATCCTGTTGTGTATTTAATCAATATTAGAGTCAGTGAATTGCAAGTTCACGTTAAAATGGATTTCAGTTAAATTAATTTTGAACCCACCTTATGAAGATCTATCAAGATCGAAATATACAAATATAGTGGTTTAGCATAATTGCAGCAAATTAACAGATATTCTTGTCTGCTTTATTTTTGTCATTACGTAAATTGTCGTGTGAACAGCTGCTCTATACCACAATTCCGTAAAACGGCAGGTTGCAGAGAATACAGATTCGCCCTGAAAGCCTAAAGTCTGAAGTAGAGCCCTATTCAGTGTTTTATTTCTCAGCCGGTTCGCACACCAGAAAGCAGATGCTGCTTACCGGCAAAATAGTCGAGAGGCTAAGTCACATCTGGCAGCACATTCTGCATTTCGACCGTGAGGCTGGAACCCAGAATGAGAGTAGCCGGTGCAGTTGATATAACACACTAACGTCTGACTTGTGAAATGGGCTTATTTCGAGACACTGTAGCCTTCACAGCTGATAAAGCATAATTAAAGTAATCACATCCCTGCATACTAAAGTAGACTGATTTCGGCAATATATAAATAGTTGAGTTCATAAAAGGTAAAGCTATCCCTGTAACAGGCCATGGAGGCCCATAGAGTTGTGAGATGTTGAGGGTTCCACATTACCTAGACAATTGGCTCACAGATGGCGGTAATTTTGTCAGCCTTACGCCCCGGCCGCCCTTTATCCCCCAGGAAGATTTCTGGTACTCATTTCTGTCAGAGGCTGCCAGAGGCCATAGTGCTGCTGGAAGAATTAGGTCAATTGAAAAATCCACCTCATCGGGACTCGAACCATCGAACCAGCAACCTTCCGAATTGTAGCATAGTGCTTCAACAAACTACGCTTCCGCGTGCCCCCCATGGATTTCATAATGTAATTCAGAAATCTAACGTTTAAATGGACTAATTCGTCTCTACATAACCATTGCAGCTATTATTATTATTATTATTATTATTATTATTATTATTATTATTATTATTATGTGTCTACAGCCCTTTGTTGGGCCTTAGGCGCTTTTTCAGTTTCTTGACCCTATAGACAGTCGGTAGGACTCCTTGGACGGGGGGTCAGCCCGTCGCAAGGCCTCTACCTACACACAGAACACAAACGCAGAATAAACGCACACAATATAGATATCCTGCCTTGAGTGGGATTCGAACTCATGATCTTAGCCTTTGAGGGAGCGAAGACAGTTCATGCCTTAGACTGCTCGGCCACTGTGATCGGCATTGCAGTTGATATAGCTACTAAAAATAAACAAGGAATATATTTGCTGAAGGAAGAATAGTCCACGATGCTTAAATATCAAGGTTGACAAACCGTCTTTAAATTGACCAGGAACCTAATCCGTGGAGAGGACTGAAATAAGAAATCACATCTGTTGGCAAATCTGAAATTGCAAATGCCATACCGTATGCAAGGCTGCAGCCCACGAATTAGGAGAAAACATTTGCAGTATACAGTTCGGAGTTGAATAAATTTTGTACCAAATGTATGAAACACTACACTGAGAAATAACAGCAAACAAGAGCTTGGTTCTAAAACGGTATTTTACGCAAAACGTAACTGAAATTGAATTACAGCTACGTCTTCAATATTGTATTTTGTATTCCAAGATGTAAACTTAGCGCAGTTTCGTGATTCCCATGTGAGCCGTGGGTGGGAGTTCCTTGAGTCACCCTCCTTCACTTCTCAAGTCTCTCTTCTTGGAGCATCTCTGACATCCGAAACCCCCTCCTGCCCTACCCTTCGCATTTCCTTTGACCTTCGTTAAACTAATTACTATATATCTCTCTTAATGTCGTCTACTCCATTTCTACTTTACACTTAGACACTGTGGCTCCTGTTCCAAAGCCAGTACTCCCTGCTGCCATCTTGGCTCTTATAACTGACCTCCAGTTCGCGGTAACTGCTTGAACATTACCCCGTAATGGGCTCCTCCACTACACACACAAACACACACAACTTTCTGCGTAGTTATAAGTGACTTGAATTTCGTGGTGAGCCACTCGTGTGCATCTGATATAAGCCAATTGCTACGATCAGTTATACACCCGCTTGGTATATATGTACATTGGATTGTAGCAGTAAAATAATACTCTTCGTCATCCATCGTAATTGAGAGGCATCAGTGTTGTTGGACGATGCTTTACAATGGCTGACAAGGCCCGTTTCTATAACCCTCTTTAGTGTCGCATGGTGAGGAAGGTAAATCTTCACAGTATAGCCAACCGTGTAACTTGATGAGTAATGCCCACATCATTGTATGGGTCTGCTACGTTCGATAGTGAATTTCATGTCATGATGTTCACATAAAATCCTGTTTCTAACATTGAATTAGACCAGGGGTGAACAAGAGAAGACGAAGTGTCCGCGTATTACACGAAAATGAGATCATTACAACAGATTCTATCATATGATTATTATAAAAGTGTTTTTTAGATATTGTATTTTCTTTGTTGTCCGAAAGGAGGCCAGATGATCTAACAGGGACATTTCATTTTGGATTGGTGTAAATTGTATTAGTCCGTTATCATTTCCTGCTGTGAGAGATTCGAGTTTCTCATGGCTGTGCTGTCAAGAATGCTGTCTTCTAGGATGTGAGGCCAGGTAGTCTTATAGAAATTAACGACGTTTCGGAGGAACATACTGCTTCCATATTCAGGGTCAGAGAGTAAGCCAAGCAAGTAAGTGTAGAAAATTGCTGCTTTTACTTTCGACTTAATTTTCGACCCTGAAAATGGAGGCATAATTTCTTCCGCATTGTGGGAAAACTTCTGTCCTACTATCCGGCATTACATACCATAAGGTAGCAATTTTAAACTACTTTTGTCTTTGTACTCTTTAGAGTGTTTCCTGTTTCTGTGAATTGTATTGGTTTTTCTTTCGTTGATATATAACGTTTGATCACAGAAGACTGAGTTTCTAATTAATTAATTCTGTACCTCACAGTCCTTCTTGAGGAGCTGGCAGTCGCTTAGTTACTCAAGAAGTTCCCCATACTTTATGAAATACGAAGGTTTATGACAACCACTGAGTACTGTGCTGTTCCATATTATTTCCATTTTGATTCCATTCCTTCCCTGTTTCTCTTAGTACGAGTACTATCCTCTTACCTAGTTCTAGGTCTCCCAAGTGCTTTGCATAAATATATCCCATCACCCTATTAACAAAAGTTCAGTGTAAGAAATGGGAGCAGGGGTAGCGGAGTCGCTATAGCGACTGGATGTAGGCTGGACGACCGAGGGGTCCAAGTTGGAGTCCCGGTAGGATTAAGAATTTTCTCTCCTCCAAGTCATCCAGACCGGTTCTGAGGTCCACCCAACATCCTATGCTTCTCTGGGGCTAAAACTGCCACTCACCTCCAGCTAGAATCGAGGTCAAGAAAATGTGGATCTATGCGTCCACTGCCCCATACCTCTTCATGGCGTGGTGCTTAATTAGTTAACCATAGGGAAAACTTTACCTTTGCCTTACAGAGTAAGAAATTCCACATTAAGTAACCATCCTGCTGTTGTTTCCTCTCTCTTGTCTTAATATTCTTGTCGGCACCTTGTTCTCAAAACCCCTCAATTTAAACCAAACAAAGAGCCAATCATGCATGCAAAGGCAACAGACCTATCAACGATCACTCTTCATGCTTACAGAGATGGAATTACCGAATCGCATGAAGAGCGCGCTGGAGCGAGAGGACCTGGACCTCGAAGCCAGTAATGAGGCCGACAGTGAGCCCGGCCAGCACCTGTACAACGGCTACCAGGGCCCGCTGAGGGAGTCGGGAGACGGTGGTGTTGTGGGCGGCGAACCCGGGGAAGATGGTTCATCTGTAGCCAGCAGCTGGAACTATGCGTCCCGCCTGTTTAGCGCCCTCGTCCTCATCCATTTGTTGTGAAGAGTTTGGCGCCATGTTGGCTCAGGTGTTTTAGAAACGTCAATGTCGCCCATTTAAACCGTGTGTGTTGTTTTTCTGAAGCGCAGACTTCGATATATATCGAATGACAGCACGTGAGTCCGACAATGCTTGTAGATGCACTGTCGTATGTGGAAACGATAAAAAAGCGTCCTCTATGAAATACTTTTATAGTCCAATGGCATGGCATGAACATTGTGATAGTTTTTAGCAGGAAACAGAAACATACTGCGCTTGAGTGACATACTGACTGCCCGAATTTACGACGATAATTCTGATTTAGAGGGAAAGCTCAAATAATGTCAGAAGCAGATTGAGTTAAGGCGGGATATACTGACATGACGCAATATAGCAAACGACATTCTTATAAGGAGCTGTGGTTCTCACAGCGGTACATAAGAAGATTTATGTCCCAGATGTTAGAACTAGTCTGACAATATACTTATAAAGTCTTAAATGAAAGTTTAGAACGGGTTTGCATTTTGTCAAAGGAATACATTCCACGGAGATGAACATAGCGATTCGCAAATTGTGTTCCGTGGAGCACTGAGGTTTCGTAAGGCAATTCCATCAGTTCCTTCGAGTTAATTATAATAAAGGCTCAAGTTGCAGGAGACTGGACAAAACTTCGTAATGTGGAGATACATAATTTGTTTGCTTGTACCCAAATATTGGTTGGGTGAACAAACCATAGGGGCCGAGACTGACAGAGCGTGGGAGATGATACAAAATATTATTCGGGAAACCTGAAGGGAATAGACCAAACTTGGGGAGGGGTAATATTAAAGCGGAGCTAAAAGAACACCACGCTCTATTTCCAGTGTAGGGTTTTGACCTGATTTCATTTGGATAAGTTAAAGGACGATGCATTATGAATATGGAAGTTAGCCTTCGGGATCCATGAAACATGTTAAATTTCTTGACTTGGTGCGTGATTGGCAAGTTCTGGAATAATTGTAAAACGAACTTTAAGCCTTTATAAAAATTAAAACACATAATATATATATATATATATATCTTCTACAACTTCCGAAATGATAACTGGGAGTATAAAATATTTCACAGACTCCAGATTTTTAATACTTATTACATTCAGGAGCTTAACATCTAAATCATTTGTGGAAAAACTTCCTTTGCTTGAGGCCTGAGGCACCTTGCAACCTTGTATGCGACAGAAGCTCTAATCTTTGACGGAAAGCGAGAAACATGAAGCAGGGCTGCCACCACCGTGAGAATCGGGCACACTACTAGACTTCATTCTGTCCGTAACACCAACCCATGATAGTGTATAGGAGGTACGGTGGTAGGTCTGCGTGAATTTAAACCTCGGCACTAGGTGTGAGTGGTTATCACCATATTCGGGCAACTTTACCCTCGAGGAAACGGCCCACTGAATGAGAATTTCATACTGTCAGAGTGGCCTGGATTGGATTCGGCGCAAAACAGAAGAATTCCTGTCCTTGTCTGGAACTGAAGCCTCGCCTTCCAGTCTATGGTCAGTCACTTAAGTATTTGTATGGTTCGACTGTTATCCAGTTTCCGACAGCCAATCCACAGTCTTCTTTTTTTTTATGTCCATAACATCTTTCCTGTCTTTTTTTTCTCTCTCTTAACGTGAAGCCAAAAAAAAATGTGTTTTGTCGTACGAAAAGTTTGGGAAATACTGAAACTGAAACAACTAAAATTGATTTATAGCAGTCACTGTTCCAATTAATATGCAGAATTTACTACAGAAAATTCTTATATACCGCGTCGCTACTACTGACGAGGAGAACGGTAATGCACGGTTATACATGGTTTGAATCATGCAGACTACTCATCAAGCCATCCTAACTTGCTTTATTGCGATATTTTTATAATTAATTTTACAGTTTATCGTCAGGATTCTCGTATTTTCAACCCTGCTCCAATGAATTAAAGAGTTTAAATTAAAAGAGGCTTAACAACAAAAACACTGTTTTTGAGATAGAAGTTTCCGAATCAAGTAAACATTAAAAACAATTATTATTCAGTATTTTCATATTAACTTAAGAAATGTTCATCTCTTTCCATAAGAATAGAACATGACTATACATAACCATGTATAATCGAAATAAATTCATAACCATTTAATTGACACGCTGTTCCATTAAAAACAAATTTACATTTTTGTCAGAATATTATGCGGTATAATACGGCATGTGATATCTGTATGTGGTATAGTATAGAAATAAATAATGCTAAGTAATCATATTTCCAAGAAGTGAACACGAAACGCATTGCAATGCATCGAAGGAAACCCGAGTGGCAGCCTTCGAAGTGTCTAAGATTTTTTCTGTCCAGAGAAAGAATTCCCTTAACAGTGCTAAATAACTGTCACAGAATTATTATAAAACGCCATTTCCTTTTTGATCCTTTAAAGTGGTAACTATATGTTCCACCAGTTTTAATTTTTAAAACTCTGTGTTTTAGTCACACAGTATGTGTACCTGCCCTGTTTGATTCTGTGAACAAATAGCTCATATTTCCCTACATATCATTATCTGATTGGTTTTCGTAATGGATGCGAAGTATTTTCTGTAAGGTAGGAATAGAATTCTTAAACGCGAGTATTACTTGCAAGAAGCTCCGAAATGGATAAGTAGCAAAATATTCATTATACTTAATTTTGTACTGTAAAATCCAAGCCGAAATTGGACCTGTCGTGCCCTAAGAAATCTGCAGTGTTACAGAAGAGGGGCGTTAGTCAACATAAAAAATAATATTTTAGCTTTTCACGGCTTGATTATGAAGAATTCCGTCTTCTGGGATGTGGCATCATGTAGATATTGTGTAAACCGACGTTTCAGAGGAACATATCGCATCCATCTTCAGGGTAGAAGAAAAATCCGAGAGCGAGGAACAAAGGTGAGCAGATGGCTGCGGATTTTTTCTTCTACACTAAAGATGGAGGCGATACATTCCTCCGAAACGTCGGTTTACACAATATATACATGGAGTCACACCCCAGAAGACGACATTCTTAGGAAAAAAAACTTTTCGGAAGAATAACAAACAAGTTTAGAGTTTTAGGCAGTAACGTACATTACTCGGAATTTTATTATGTGAATGGAAAATATTGTGTCTTAGTGACGTAACTTGTTTTCCACTTCACTCGTTTAATGAAGGAATTTCGCGACAAATTTATATGATTGGACCACTTTTTACGGAACTCGCTTTTTGTTGAAACCACAGAAATGGAATCCCTATATTTTCTAAGTATTTAGAAGTGGCCGAAATGTCCAGTAAATTTATTCTTCTTTCGTCAGCGATTCCATGGATGCTAAATATTCATGAGTCCCTAGTTCATGTGCATTACTGAAAATGCTAAACAAAGTAAAAACACAGTTTCGTCCGAATTACCTTCATTCATATCAAACAGTCCCATATGAGGACCGTATAAGTAATTCATGCATATTGTCACGTGTATGAGTGACTATAGACGGGTTTTGGATTGGTACTTGGATTTATTGAACACTTACGGATCGTAACCACAAGTAATTATAGCGCTGTCGATAAACCTGCACACACTACAGATCACTATTGTTGCGTCGGTCTGTCACTGCGGAATCATGTTTACCGTACCGTTGCCCGCAACGGCCATTTCTTCTTTTTCCACTCTTCTGGCTTTTAGCTGCCAAGTTCCAATATCATACATTCACAACTAGCATTTTTGTATAATTTTGAGGGAATTCTGTCTCTTACCAAACAGTTGTAGAAATATCCGTCAAAAAGGTTATACTTTTTATTTTCAGAATGTGGCCTTTTAAACATCTAAAAACTATAAAAATTATAGGGGATTTAACATAAAATTCGAAAAGCCACAGATCACAATAAAGACTTGCTTTCATACTGCACTGATTGCGTTAAAAGACTCTCAGAAATATCCAAAAAAAAAAAGATGAACACGGGCTGCATCTATACATAATAATGAAGTAAAATTCCCGAAGTCAATATGTCAAGGATTAGAATTTATCTTATTAAGCTTGAAATTCAATTGGTAATGAACTGCTGGTATATTTTTTTTTCCTTGGCACTACAGCCCCAGTGGGCCTAGACCTACCTCCATGAACTCCGTTCACTTCGGTTTTTCTAGACTCCTTGGGCGGGTGATCAGCTCGTCGCAAGGCCTCTACCTGTAGACAACCTGGTATATTAATATTGGCAATATTATTATTATTATCTTCATTATTATCATTGTTGTTAGGCCTATCAATATGACGTAGGCATATATGATTCACACCATTTTGTAAGTAACTTCCACCGACCGTTTTTTCAGAGTTTTAATTTTTGTAGTTTCCTGGTCATTATAATTTCGCAACTTATGTCTTATGAGTGAATTCGGCTTTAGCGCTTTCACAGTGAATGTGAATACAGAAAGAAAAATGGAAAATATTATATTCACTTTAGTAGATTCTTGAAGGATGGTTTAACTATGTTACCATGTACAGGCTGGCGATGAACAAGTCCATGTACTAGTGTCGCTGTACTGATTTCCAGTGAACATAATGTTTACCATTGAAGGGAAAGTGAAAACACAAATGTCCCTCGTGACAAGTATCGATCATTGATCCTCAGAATGTTGTTCAGATATGCCACAATTAACAGTCTCTGAGTGTGGATTTTGTGCAGCAACTCCTCGAAGGAATATTATGGATTGATTATAAGCGACTTCCTCATATTGGAATTTTGTTATAATAAAATCGAAGCTGTGTATACCAATGAACGTTTTAAGACAACGAATAGCTTTCTGAGTCTTGAGTGTCGCATGAAAAATTTGAGTAGGACAGCTTTGGATCTCCTTCCTCCTGTACAACATTTAATCACCCTCAGTTCAGACACTGAGGGTGATTCGCGTGAACCATGAATTGTAACTTTGGATTCGTGAAGAGTCTGAGGTATTCGCGCGGTGAAGAATAACTCATCTAAACTACCCATTCCGCCAAAGAAATCCAGTGGAATTAAGTTCGGAGAGCTGGTGGCCATTTGTTAGGTCCACCTCTGTCAGTCCTTGTCTCGAGCTAGGTGTTTCTAAAATACTAAATTTGTAAATATTCGCTTGTAACTGCGCCATGCAGTATTGCAGACTGTCGGCCGTGGAGGGCAGTGTTCTGTGCGTATCAGCTTGCCAACTTACATGGACTGCCCGCTGTCTCTGTACTGACAGACGGTAATCCGGAATATTTCACGTTACCAGACAACCACACTGTCTGAACTACTCATACAACGTATAAATAGAAGGCGGTGAAGTTCATTCGTCCCAAGCTGATTTCGAAACTGCCAGCTGAATTGCTTTCATGAAAGCACAGAACAAACCGAACTCCTGCACCCGCTGCGAATCTACTGCATATATCGGGAGGATAGAGCATCATGTCCACTCCTCTTTCTAAACATCAGTGTTGTTCTTCATGTCATAAGACTTTCATTGGACTATCGCCTTTGATTTTAAACGAATTTACAAAAGAGTAAACATCACTTATAAGCCTACTGTTTCTGTTAATATGGATACAAAAGTTTCATATACGTGTAATATCCAGGTTTGCAGACATTCGACAAACCAGCGCACATAACATACGAAGATTATTCTGTTTTCGAAATAAAATAAAGTGAAATGCGTGTTCTCACTTTAAGGAAATTGACTGTGGTAATATGAATGCAATAACCCATTCTGTAGGGAGAATGATACACAATCTATTGGAAAAGTGACCCCATGTAAAATGGGAAGTCAAAATAAAATTACTGGAATAATTTTTTCCTGTTGCATAATGCTTCAGGCAATGTGACATTTTATAGATGTATATAACTTGTATAAAAGACTTGTATGATACCAGTGTTTGGTGGTACCAGCACTGTGAACTGTTCAGCTGTATACAACTGACTGTTTCTATGTGCCAAAAATAACACAGTGCTATTTGTGCCCTGCCCTCTGTCGCATATCAAGCGAGAAGTTTGTCTGTGTGTGTGTGTGTACTTGCAACGTGGTATACTCTGGGAGATGTGCCAACAGCTGTATGATCGTCTGTGGTACCCGAGAAACACTCTTTTCGTTTGTTAATTTAGGTTTTATTTTCTCAGTTCTTGCTTACTGAAAGAAAGAAGTGGCTGTCTTCGCAACGTCAATTAATTTCTTTCTTCAGGTTCTAACGACTGATTTTAATAAACCAACTTTTTTTCCTTGCGAAAGAAAGTACACCTTATATTTAATTAAGTATGATAAACCTAAGTTTCCTCGAATGCAGTTTAGTTCCTTGATTAGAAAAATCTATTTTCAGAATATGTATTCTTGGATAATTATGGGCATAAATGTCTCTGTTTTTTTTTTGTTTCTAATTACTTCAGTCTGTTACACATGTCAGTCAGCCTGATAGCAACAAATACGTTTTGTGCTTGACATTGCATTACAGGCAATATGAGGTTTCAAAATTTAAACATTTGTTTTGCTTAAAATAACAATATTCGGAATCAAATTTTTGTTAAGAAATGAAAGGAGAATTTTGCAAGACAGCTGGACGGTTCAGTACTGCTAATAAGAAAGTCATGAAGTAGATACGACCATGAGCCAGTTCCATCCTCTCTCACATATTCATGGTTTATTACTAGATTTTTCTCGGTCTCCGAATTGGCCTCTTCACAGGACCTCAAGTACCCTGAGCAAGTAGGTCTGTGACTTATTACATAATATAATAAATGAAGAGCGAGGGTAATTTTCATGAAGACGTTTTTCTTGAAGTTGTTAGAATTTCTGTTTCGATTTCAAAGATAATTTAAAGCGATTTTTATTAATATATCTGACTCTTGACAAATAAGAGACTGAAATATCGTAACATTTGGAATAATAAACGTATAGTAAGCATATTAGCTTGTTTATCTGATAATCGTACTGCTTACATCATAAAACTAAATCTATTAAAGAGGGACCACATGATAAATCTATGTGGTTTGAGGGGCAATATAATAAAATGCTACATAATGTGAAATTAGATTTCCGACGAACGGTCTGTGAAGATTTGGACCGTACTAATCCAGCTGACGAGTGTTGAAGACATTTGTGAATATGCAAATGAAGAAATGTACTCCTTAGAACTATGAAATTAATTACTTGACCACCTGAGTAAATACAACTTTTTCAAAAACGACCTTGTAACCTATAGTTCATATACACATATGCAATAGCCATTATTAGTAGATTTGTTTCCTTGCTTTCAAATGTGAACATTCCAAAGACAAACACAGAGAAGATTAAGTTATAAATATATGTGTAGTACAATAGGATATGGTTTACGATTTTCTATGTGTGTGATTGTTTTTTCCACATTATTTCAAAGGAAAAATGTAGTTATCACGGACTTATACAGGTGGCAGGTCCAGGTGCCATCTGAAGAAAAAAAATTAACTTAATTCGCCTTTCGAGAGATGAAGGGGGTAGGGGGAAGTATAGATATTAAAATTATAAAAGAAATAAAGAAGGGGGAGAAAATGAAATACAAATGAAATTATTTCCTGTTTCATTTTAGCTGGCCTTTCCCGCTAGTAAAATTTAATCCCACTTGGTCGTAATCAAGAATAATCAAATATTGATAAATTGTTGACTACTCTTATATTTACATCATAAAGGTGAATGTAGTGTGCTCCTCTGAAATTTGTACTCTCGTTATAAATTAATTTACAAGTTAAGTTCAATTTTTTAACTCTTTAATATAATGGAATACTATCACCTGAATTTACAACGCCCATAAATCTTCATGTCTTATATATTTTTTCTAGCAATTTTTAA